CAGTGTCCCTTTAAAACAATCTCACGAATGCATTTCATGTTTCCTACTTACATACGGGGTACTCTCCGCATGTGGTTTAGGTTAGTCTGTGGGATCCACGAATGCTCCATTGCCGTATTGGGCGTTTTGGCAAATACACACAAATGCTACTTAGAATACAGTTGTGTTTCCCCTATTTTCATACGAAAGGTTTGGATTTAGGGTTCTCTAGTGTGTGTGCCTTTAAGTGGTTAAATTGTATATTACATCCTAAATAGTTTTTGTTGGAAATAATTATATACTGGTCCTGAGTCTTGTACCACACTAACAAGTGAACAAAACCCCCCCCCCCAAAAAACGGTTGAGGTTCACATTTACGCTTGCTGCCATATTCTTAACGGAGTCATTTCGTTTTTTCAATCACACAATGTTTATACGTCTGTTGTTTATTTCCTTGGGTCTGTTTCGGTAAGCGTTTATAAGCAAATTACATATCTGTCAGGATATGCTGGAACCTGAACACACAGACAGAATCACTAAAAGAGAATGTCGGAGGGAAACGTGGCACTCGGAGCCGTGAGGACAGGTAAGCAGGCAGAATGCTTGACAGTATCTTTAGTTATCTGGCTTTGTTACGTCAACTTCAATTTATTGTCAACTTAGGTAAGTTAGATTCATTTCTGGTTATATATTATTCATCCAAATTGACCATCATGGCATACGTCTCTGCAACTACTCATTCTATACTTCACACTGTTATTAGGTTCCTTAATCAGGACCGCTGTTTTCACTTGAATCAGTTTTCTCATATTCAAGGTAGGTCCTGGTTTATAGGCTATATTCTGGTTCATAGGCCATTACTCATCTTGAATATTATGTTTCATTTACAGGTTACGGGGTTCTCAGTATTTCAGGGCAGCATTTGCTCATCATCCTCGTACCTTGCAATTAGGTAGGTCTGTCACGAAATTAAATACATTTGGGTCCACGATCTGGCAATTATAATCCCCAGATATTCGAATGCACGCCTTTCTCATTATTAGGTGCTAGGTCTCTCCTATTTACATGCACGACCACTCACTTATTGTTGAATCTACTTAACTCGTTACCCAGTAGGTATTACTGTTATATCTCTATAGTTGTTCCAGTTACACTCAAAATCTTCCTACAACAAATTTTATTACTCCTATAGGTCTGATCTATAAACTCTTACAGAGTCTATACCACATACCTTCCTTACACTTCCATCCTTAGTTAGTTGGTTACTGACCTCCAGGGAATTAGGAGTCTATTGGTTAATAATATCTCAGGCCTCTGTGCCTTATGTTAGTGGTCCCGCGAGGCCAACACCCATCCTTATACTCTGAGGTACTTCGCCCATCGGCCCAACTCATAGTTATTCGCCTCGCATGGTGGCATAGAAAGGTCCTCACCAGTCACTCCCGTTCTATCTTATGCTTTAAAGAATAACAGAAACGCCGCCACCCCTCCACAATGTTCGGTATCCACGAAATTCCCTTGGCGACTCGGAGGCCCTCACTGGTCACCAACTTATTGAAATTATTTGCCGCTTGGCACTAGCTAGTAAGCCAGTACTTTATATGGGTTTACTCTGAACTACGCAAACAAAACATACAGTACCCAGCAACAACTAGGGAAGCTGAACTTTTTTTTTAGACTAATGTGGACCAACACTGATAATACAGATGATGGGGAGGGCCCTAGTGGTTCTAACATGTTAGAGCTTCACTCCATGATGTCATCGGTCTTGTCCTCCATTAGGCAGGTCAATGACAGACTGGAGAGACTAGAGTCTGGTGGCCTGGCAATGTCACCAGCTGGGCCGTCCACTACTGACCTGACAGGACCTCCTCCTGCACAACCGGGTAATTCATTATCCACCTTGAATGCACCCCATGTTATCAATTCAGCTCTCACTCAGTTCGACATAAAGACTGACTGGAACCAACTGGACACAGAGCTATTTTGCAGACACTTTGCGGACCTAACTACACCAGCCTGTGCAATTTGTATGTCCACTTCACACACAGCCAACCTTTGTCCCAATACAGCTGAAGTCTCTCCTAACCTTACTGTCACCAGCTCGGCATCTAAAACAGACAAGACAATCTTGCCTGCAAGACGATCAAACATAAATTGGGACGTACAATAGTTTTCTTGGGTAAATCCCAAATCTGTAACAATTTTAATGCAGGTAGTACTTGCAGGCTTCTGAATGTTTGTTCTCATTGCTACAGAGCTCATGCTAAGCAGTGGAATATCCAGGATTCATATTTGGGGGGGGTACGACGACACGAGGGACCACGGACAAAAGTAGGTGGGCAGTTATAAAACTTGTAGATATGTGTGTGTGTGTGTGTGTATATATATATATATATATATATATATATATACATACAATTCCTATTTTAATTTTTCTGATTCCCTCAGATGAATTTTCCCTTCAGTACACTACTATAGATAACTCCATTGAGGCTATTCTCAAAGCAGGCGCTTGGCTCAGAAAACCACACATAGTCAACACCTTCAAACTTCTCCTCATACACCCATCACTCTGGCACCTGCAGGGCCTTTACTACTTATTTTCCCGACTTACATATGGTTCTAAAAGTAGCCCAAAAAATATCTGACATATTTGATGGTTGTTACTTAACGTAAATAGATGCCCCACAGTCATCCACTAACTGGATGACTTCCTTATGATTGAAGATAACACTTACCACCCACGCAGTATACATGAAGCCATTAACCTCATCCAGCTACTGGGTGACCCGGTATCACCTAAGAAAACCAAAGGACCGGATACCATGATCAATTTCTTAGGTATACAACTCTATTCCACAGCAGTCCACACTCCCTAAAGAGAAAATTTACTACAACCTTACATGTATCAACCAATACATTTAAATCGGTTCCTGCGGTCGCAAAGAACTGCAATCTCTTTTAGGCTCACTCAATTTCACAATGAGGATTATCCTTCATAGAAACATAGAATGTGACGGCAGATAAGAACCATTCGGCCCATCTAGTCTGCCCAATTTTCTAAATACTTTCATCAGTCCCTGGCCTTATCTTATAGTTAGGATAGCCTTATGCCTATCCCACGCATGCTTAAACTCCTTTACTGTGTTAACCTCTACCACTTCAGCTGGAAGGCTATTCCATGCATCTACTACCCTCTCAGTAAAGTAATACTTCCTGATATTATTTTTAAACCTTTGTCCCTCTAATTTAAGACTATGTCCTCTTGTTGTGGTAGTTTTTGTTCTTTTAAATATAGTCTCCTCCTTTACAGTGTTGATTCCCTTTATGTATTTAAATGTTTCTATCATGTCTCGTCTTTCCTCCAAGCTATACATGTTAAGATCCTTTAACCTTTCCTGGTAAGTTTTATCCCGCAATCCATGAACCAGTTTAGTAGCCCTTCTCTGAACCCTCTCTAAGGTATCAATATCCTTCTGAATATACGGTCTCCAGTACTGTGCACAATACTCCAAGTGAGGTCTCACCAGTGTTCTGTACAATGGCATGAGCACTTCCCTCTTTCTACTGCTAATACCTCTCCCTATACAACCAAGCATTCTGCTAGCATTTCCCTGCTCTATTACATTGTCTGCCTACCTTTAAGTCATCAGAAATAATCACCCCTAAATCCCTTTCCTCATATGTTGAGGTTAGGACTCTATCACATATTCTGTACTCTGCCCTTGGGTTTTTACGTCCAAGATGCATTATCTTGCACTTATACACATTAAATGTCAGTTGCCACAATTCTGACCATTTTTCTAGTTTACCTAAATCATTTGCCATTTGGCTTATCCCTCCTGGAACATCAACCCTGTTACATATCTTAGTATCATCAGCAAAAAGACATACCTTACCATCAAGACCTTCTGCAATATCACTAATACAAATATTAAAGAGAATGGGTCCAGTTACAGATTCAAGGCAGGTCTTTTATTTCAAGACTCCTCTACCTATTCCCCGATCTCCCTATTGATGATAGCCGCATTACATTAAATTCCCAAGCTACAGCAGACCTGCTCACGTGGCATACGTTCCTACTCACATTGAATGGGAAAAGCATGTTTCTTCCTCATATCTCTGTAAACCCACCCACCATATGGACTGATGCCGCAGCCACTACTGGTTTCAACGCTTTATTTGCCAACGAATAGCTCTGGGGTAGTTGGCCGGCTTAAGTCATGAGCATCGAAGGCTTTTCAATAACTTCTGCTATATTTGAAGTATATGATAAATTAATATCTGATCCCACTCCTAACATACAACATATTTTATTTCAATTTTTAAAGAAAGGCTTAGACTCAGACATTTTAAATAAACATAAATTTCATTTTTTAAACCTACAATACCCACAAATTCCTGTGATATATTTCCTTCCAAAAATACATAAAAATGACAAAACACCTCCAGGTAGACCAATTGTAGCTGGCATTGGTCCCTGTTATGTCATATGTCACAATATATAGATATACTTGTCCAACCTTCTGTTAAACTTCTGAAATCCTATTTAAAAGACTCAATGTCACTTCTAAACGTTTTAAATAATTTCAAATGGCAATCTAATTATAATTTAGTCACCTGTGACGTACAATCTCTCTACACAAGAATCCCCAACCATATATGGTGTCAGGCCATTAGAGAAACCCCAACAACAGAAGGAAGAACAAATTGATTTTATATTGGAAGGTATAAACATAATTTTAACCAACAACTATTTTTTTTTTAACTCCTTTTACCTTCAGAAGAGAGGCACAGCCATGGGGACAAGGTTTGCCCCCAATTATGCCAATTTGTTTATGGCAGATTTGGAAACTACGGCCATCAGGGGAGAGCATGACTGGCGGGCAAACCTGATCACTTATTTTAGATATATAACGATATACAATATATATAAATTGGCACCACAATACAGAGTATAGCAAAAATAAATCTGATATGCAGCACCCGCTATAAACTTTGGTAATAGGGTATAGATAGTAGATAACAAAAAGTGCTGGTGCGCAAAAATTTTAAAAACACCTCAAGTGTTCATATATGTCATACAGTGCTTTTAAAATACATACAAAGTGGAATTGGTGTTATCCCACATAAAAAAAACCCCACATAAACACACATGCATATAATTATAACCTGTAAGTAAGCACTGGTTTCTGCAAATAGGAGACAAAAAGGGAACAAAAGAAGCACTCCTAGTGCAATAAAGTTATTAAAATCATATAAAAGACTTTGAACCCCCTTTGAGCCCCACTCAAAACTATAACGCCCAGGGAGGGACAGTCCATAGAGTACGTGGGATCCAATAGATTCTCTGGTGACCCGGGTAACAGGTAAAAAAAAAACGTTATTGGTATATTAAAAAAGCTTTAGCAGCAAAACAAATGTAAAGTCCACTGTCTGCTCACCAACCCGTGGGGAGTGAAGTGCATTGAAGCAGTAACCACGGTCTTCCTCCTTCTGGTTGTAGTTATTCTTGCCGGTGTACAAGCTGTAACCACTTCCGTGTTCCTTGTCCCGTGGTTCCGTGACGCGTGTCACCCCTCCTCCTGGGGCTATCTCCTCCCACTGGAGATCATCTTTTATTCATGAGTTCTTTGGCCATGATCTAATCGGCTTAATAAGCTCATTTATATAAAGGTAGTGTTCGTAATAATTCTAATTCATAAAAGTAATATATTTGTAATCCTTCACAGGGCAATATATTTCATAAAACAAGGTATATATGAGGAGAGAGAAAAATGTCTTTAAAATAAACAAATATATATGTTTACTAATTACTTTTCAAAGCATTCATATGTGTATATTTCCCTAAGTGAAGCCATATAGTGCTACATATAGAGTACTATATAAAGGATATGTCTATTCTCCTATAAGAGAGATAGACACATAAATGGTTTTTCAAAAATAAGGGGAAGATCGCCTAACTCAACATTTCAAGATAAAGTTAATATAATTAGCCCCAAATGGATAAAACGTATTCAAGTCTAGTACATAACAATTTATAATATAAATATATACATACACAGCAACATAAGAGATATAGGAATGTAGATATTAAAAATAAAGAATAAAAATGTAAAACACAATATCTAAGAGATGTATAAAAAACATATACAAATATCAAATTCCCTAATCTGGGACTTAACATGTATTGGAGATGGATTGGAGGTGTTAGAAAAATTAACCCCTTAAGGACTGGACTGTTTTTGCGATGTTGTACATTTGCGACCAGGCATATTTTTACACTTTTGTGGTGTTTGTGTTTGGCTGTAATTTTCCGCTTTCTCATTTACTGTTCCCATACAAATTATATATAGTTTTTTTCAGGACAAAAGGGGCTTTCTTTACATACCATTATTTATATAATCTCATGTATTTTAATTTAAAAAAAAAATACAAAAATCTGATGAAAAATTGAAAAAAATACATGTTTTTTGACTTTTACTTGAAAAATCTTTTACTCATCTACAAAAGCGAATGAAAAAAACTGCTAAATAGATTCAAAATTTTGTCCTGAGTTTAAAAATACCTAGTGTTTACGTGCTTTTTTGCTTTTTTTTGCATGTTATAGGGCTATAGGTACAAGTAGGATATTGCGGTTTCAAAACATACATTTTTAAATTTATCAATAGTGACATTGTAACACTATTATCTGTCATAAATCTCTGAATAACACCCCACATGTACATATTTTTTTTAAAGTAGACAACCCAGGGTATTCAATATGGGGTATGTCCAGTCTTTTTTAGTAGCCACTTAGTCGAAAACACTGGCCAAAGTAAGCATTCATATTTGTTTGTGTGTGAAAAAAGTAAAAAAACTAAATTGAACGCTAATTTTGGCCAGTGTTTGTGACCAAGTGGTTACTAAAAAAGACTGGACATACCCCATTTGCAATACCTTGGGTTGTCTTCTTTTGCAAATGGTATGCCATCATGGGGGTAATTCTCATTCCTGGGCTACCATACGCTCTCAAAGGCAACGTAACCAACCTGGCCATTTTCAATGTAAAAATATTTGATCCATATATTTGACCTTGTAACTTTCAAAAATGCTATAAAACCTGTACATGGGGGGTACTGTTTTACTCAGAGATCGCTGAACACAAATATTAGTGTTTAAAAACTGGAAAACGTATCACAACAATTATATCATCAGTAAAAGTGCTGTTTGTGTGTGAAAAATGCAAAAAAAGTCACTTTCACTGACAATATCATCGCTGTGATATGTTTTACTGTTTTGAATCACTAATATTTGTGTTCAGCGAAGTCTCCCGAGTAAAACAGTACCCCCCATGTACAGGTTTTAGGGTGTCGTAGAACGTTACAGGGTAAAATACAGTGCTAGCAAATTAAATTCTCTGGAATTTCAGCCTGGGTTGGCAGGCAGGTCCCTCAAATTGCAATCAATAAAATTACTGAATTATGTAAAAATATTACATAAATACGCACGTAGAATTTAAATATATATGCATATTTATATATTTGAAGTCTACGTGTATATTTATATAATTATTTATGTAATTTTGTATATGGACGTATGTATATTTCTTATTATTTTTATTTATTTTTATATACATAGATATATATACAAATTCATTCTAAGTGTATTTTGATATAAATATATATATATTAATTTTAAAATACAGTTAGAATAAAATTTCATATAGCTATATAATTTTTTTAATTTTTTATTATTATTTAAAAAAAATGATTTAATTTAAATTACTTATTATTTATATTTTATAATAATATATATATACAATATATATAGTTATTATATATATTATATATATACGTGTGTAATTTAATTATAAGTGTATTTTTATATTAATATAAGTACATATTAATATAAAAATACACTTAGTATGACATATATATATGATATATAGACATATATTATATAGATATAATATATGTCTATATATCATATATACACATATATAATTATTTTATTTTTTTTAATTAACACTAACTTTATTTTTTTTTCTGATTTTACACAAGCAGGGAGACTGCCTGTCAGCACAGACAGTCCCCCTGCAGGCAGACACATGGACACCTATTGTGACCATGTGATCGCTGTGTTAAGCGATCACATGGCCACAGGGGTCCTAATCTGCCGTGGGGAGACTGTCTGGGCTGCAGGCAGTCTCCCCACAACCGGAGCCACGCTGATCGCCGCCGGGGGAACGACGGCGATCAGGTAAGTAGCTCTGACCGTTAGGACGGTTCAGGACCGTCATCGGTCCTCAAGGCAAAAATGCCGATGACGGTCCTGAACCGTCCTCGGTCCTTAAGGGGTTAAAACCTGAAAAAATGTAAAAATATATATATTTGTGTAAGGGGGAAATAGCCGTATATGGAGTAAGGATCCAGCATAAGCGTAGGATAGTATAAAGGGAGCAAGTCGGTTGTGGTGTGCCGAGACCGACGATACGGTAGGCCTGTAAATAAAGAGGGCCTACCAAGGAGTAAGAAAGTAAAGTAAATGGAAAGAAAAGAGAAAGTGTTGAAATGAGGAGTGGGTGGGAGGGTCATTCTGATGCTGACCTCAAGCGATATGAGTCAGGTAAGGGGTGTCCCTTATATAGGGGAGTGAATTAATTTAAGCCCCTCCCACAAATACAGGCCAAACGGCCTTAATACTTGTGTAAGGGGCAAATAGCCGTATATGGAGTAAGGATCCAGCATAAGCGTAGGATAGTATAAAGGGAGCAAGTCGGTTGTGGTGTGCCGAGACCGACGATACGGTAGGCCTGTAAATAAAGAGGGCAAAAATGAATAATCAAAGATTTAATACAGTCAACAAATATATACAAATTAACCAGACATTTCCTTAAAAGCATTACAGTATTTAATTCCTGAAAGGATTTTGAAGGTAGGAATCTAGGACTGAAAGTGGACACCATTTGTTGTGGGTAGGATAGTATGTTATCTCTACTGTTGGTGCGTGTTGACTCGTTTCGGAATGTGGTAGAGCCAATAGGTAATGATATATGTGTTTACATACGTGGGATCGTTGAACGTTTACATCGCATCTCTTCCTGTCCGATCTTACGGATAAAATCACCTCCTCTCCAATTACTGCATACTTGTTTAATCTCGACAAATTCCAGGCCACTAGGGTCCTGTTTGTGTACCTTTTTAAAATGTTCAGAAACACTGTGACATTCCAACCCTTTTTTAATATTATATATATATAATAAATATAATATATGTTTTCTGATCCTTATATGGACAGGGGCATTTAAGAAGATATATCATATTGTTGTTGTGACAATTAATATGTTCCCTAATTATACATTCTTTTTTGGCTCTTTGTGATTTAAATTTCAGCTCAGGGTTACTATTGCTTTTACTTGCATTTTTACATGCAAAACACATTTTACACTTAAAAAAAAAACCTTTTGGTTGTACCAAAAATGTACCTGGTGGTCTGTTTGACTTTTCTTTACAAAATCTATGGACCAAAGTGTTTCTAAGATTTGGGGCACCCTGAAAAGTAATCCTAGGTTCAGGTGGTAATGTGTCACCCAGGTCTTTATCAGTTTTCAATATAGGCCAGTATTTTTTTTACAATTCGTTTAATTGATCTATGTTGATCATTAAAAAAAAAAAAAAAAACATTCTTAAAAGAATCCGGGCTACTATTTTGTTCTTCCTTCCTTTGTATTAGTTCTATCTGTGTTACGTCTTTTACTTCCTCAAGAGCTCTTTCTAAGATTTCTTCAGGATATTGTTTTTCCCTGAATTTATTTAAAAGATCCTGCGCTTGTTGCTGAAACATTGTCTCCTCTGTACAATTACGCTTAAGTCTAAGGAGTTAGCCCTTAGGTATATTATTTAGCCAAGGAGAGTAATGTCCACTACTATAGGTCACATACCCTTTTACATCCACTTTTGACATTTTTTTTTGTGTCTTTAGGACTCCTCCTTTGGCTCTAATCTTAAGATCTAAAAAATCAATGGACTGTGTGCAGATATTGTCAGTGAGGTGTATACCCCATGTATTATTATTCATAAAATTTAAAAATTCATTAAAATCTTTCTCTTGTCCATCCCAAATAAAAATCACATCATTAATATACCTGCGATAGGCTAGTACTTGTGCGCTTCAGTCATGCTGCCCATATATAAAGAAATTCTCCCAATGGGCCATAAAAAGGTTAGAATAACTGGGCGCATAAGTACTGCCCATCACTGTCCCTCTTAACTGTAAAAAAAAACAAAAAACTGGGAGTTGAACCAAAAATTATTATTTTCAAGAGTCCATCTGATACAGTCGATCAAAAAATTAATCTGATTAGGAGAAAATGTCTGATCTGATTCTAGGAAGTACTTGACAGCCGCACAACCCTTATCATTTTAGATATATGATGATCTCTTTTTTTTATTTGGGAGGGTTCTGAAGATAGTCTTATTTCTTTTATTAATAATTTAAATATTGACAACAGTGGCATCATCTTAACCCACGAATATAGTAAGGAATCTATTTACCTTTTAGATATAAATATTTTTTATAAAAGAAGGGATACTATGCACCAAAACAAAACAAGCTGATTTTTTTAAAACACAAATTAATTGAAAAAAATGACTCACCTTCTGACAAATAAAACGATTGATACTATTAAGAAAAGAGATATAAATGAACTTTTAACATACAAAAACAAATGCACTAAAGACACTTTGCTCCTTCCAGTCATATTTAATTTTAATAATAAAAGCGGCTATGTCAAAATAATTATAAAAAACACTGGCACCTATTAAGACAAGATGAGATCCGTATGCAAATTATATCTGAAAAAACAAATAATATTCAGAGGAGCTCCTAATTTTAAATCTATTTTAACCTCCAATTTCACTAGAGAAGTTAATTTAAAAAATGCACTAACTTTTTTGCATGAAGCCTAAGGTTTTTTCACATGTAACCGACCCCTCTGTCCCATCCAAAGTAATACAATTTACAAATAGAACAAACAAAAAAAAAAACCTAACAAAATAAAATATTTTATTGGATGAAACTCCCCTGTGGCCTCCAATACGTAGGAATGACTACAAGAAGTCTTAAAATACGTCTAAGCGAACACTGTAGAAATATCAAAAAAAGATACTTAAACCAATCAGTGTCTAAACATTTTATTAAACATAACAGTGACACAAAATTTTAAAAAATGTATAGGTATTAAAAAGTGTATAATTCCATAGAGAAGAGGAGATATCAAAAATATTTTAGGTAAAACAGAAATGGAATGGGTATATAATTTACAAACTCTAACCCCTTGTGGTCTAAATGCAGACTTTGATCTGTTTAACTTTTTATACGTTTTTTTTAAAACAGCAGTTTTATGTTCTCTTATATTCATCTATTTTAATATTTTCTCTTTGAATTATTGTTTCTTATTGTTTTCCCTCTATTCATGACAAATATATTCCCTGTATTGTAATCTAAAATCTTACTCTTCTAACTTGTAATTTCCTCATTCCCTTCCCAGTATGGCCTCTATATGTGGCTATAACTCCCCCTGCCCTCCTTAATATGGCCACCATCATTTGAGGCGACTATCTTTCAATCAATAGGGTACCTAATTCAAAGGACTTCTCCAACATGGCCGCCGCCATTTTTGGCCACCTTAATTTATTTTGGACTATATGACCTTCCCAAAATGGCCGACCGCCATTTGTCCTATTCCCTTCTTAATATGGCCGCCAGTACTTGTGGCCAACCCTCCCCCTCCACTAAAATGCTAATATTGCACCTCCGACCTCCACAATATGGCCGATGACACTCGCGGCTAACCTCCCCCCTTTCCTGCCGATCATCAGCACGTAGTGATTAATGGCACACCCCTTTGTGTAGGCATTCGCACTGACTACACATCCCATGTAGCATTGCGATAAATGGCATGTTCGCGTCACATGGCTGGTTTTCCACTATGATTTCCACTTGATTTAACCCTCGTTTTTAATATAATTTATGATATTTAGCCTCTGTATAAAGCAATACCTTTTATGTACTTTTAATATGTTTATAATATGTAGAATTGCATATGGAAAGTGCTAATTTTGGCGCCAATTTTAAACAGTTATCCCTATATATACCCCTATAGCCAGGTTGACTGTTTTTATTCCATTTGAAAAAGCCTGCAAAGGTGAAATGCGTTATGGACATTTAATATTGTGTATTTTAACTTATTAAAGGTTTTTTGGTCACCTTTTTGTGCCAATCATCTTTTTTATATGCACTTTTATTTCCTGGCATTTTTAAGTTCTATACTTCAAGTAATCCCAAGGTGGGGATAATACCACCAACGCTGAGTTCATAGAGCAGTTAGCCTGCTCTATCCTTGTAAGTATAATTTTACTTCCTTTTATTGAAGATTATTTTTTTTATTGAGAGCAGTATCTGTTGCCATTTGTTGCATATCCTACAAAGCGGGGATTATACAGCTGTACGCCCTTACTGCTAGAGCTGGCTATAGCTCTTTTAAATTTAAGTGTTCCATCGCTATTTTATACTTTTATCGGATTGAATTCAACAATATGCACTATCACCTGCCCCTGTCTCCTGTGCTTTATATCATCTTCACGTGGACGTGGTTGACAGGTGCCGTCTATCCTTTAAAGCGGGGATTATACTGCTGTACACCTCTACTGCTAGAGCTGGCTAGAGCTCTTTTAAACATGAGTGTTCAACCGCTATTTTTTGCTTATAAAATATTGAATTCAACAAGCTACACTATCACCTATCCCTGTGTCTTGCCTTCTATATTATCTATGGTCAAGTCGAACTGAGGACAGTACATCCTATCAAGCACTGACTTTCATCCTTAGATAATAAGAACCAAAAATCTCATTTTGGGAGAGTGTGTGTTACAATAGATGTGTTAGTGAAAAAGATATGTGTATAGCCGCTCTGTACACTAATGTGGATAACCCTTTATTCCACATGCAATTGTATAACGAAAGAATTTGGTATATAATATATATATATCTCAAGTGGAGCGCTATAAATGTTTAGGGATTACCTCACAGAGTCTTGATTGGGTCGTATATGTCACATACAGATATGAAAGATAAAAATATATAATATACTGCAGATTGTAAAACACTTGTGCAATTTTAAATGAAGTAGATAAACTGATCACTCACATTTTCCAGAGTCTATCTTTTAGCTCTGTAAATTGGACCGGTATGCTTTTTAGGGCAGCATCCCACCACTATTTCCTGCTGAAATTTTTCACCGGGAAGATAAAAACAATAGGAACATCCAATGTGTAGTATAATCAATTCACGGATATTTTTGATAGAATATAAATAGGTATTGTGCTTACCTTTTATAGAGCCTTAAAATCCTGGCTCTGAGGGTGGTAGGCTTTGTGCCACTCTAAGGGGGTTGGCACTTCCCCAAATGAAGGTACTTGAGGCTTCTGTGGACTTTTTCGAAAATATAATCTATTGATGAATACAAAGATGCTAAAAAGTAAATAAAAATAAAATACAATAATAAAGATAAAAACTTG